TACATTTCTGAACTAGAGTATTTTTTAAGAAGGGAGTCTCACAGGGAATCACATTCAGATTGTGACAAAGTGTTTCTTATTTGATACCACTTTTTAGTAAAATCATTATATTGTGATCCCAGTTTGGACTTCAAATTCTTTAATAGATTCTGGCCAATATGATACATACAATGAATATGATATGTATCTGGTATTATTTTAAAAATCGTGGCATCTATAGTGAGATCGTTATCCGTTATGATTACTGATAGAAAAATATTTGTTAATTAAACAAGAGAATGAAAAATCTATTCAAAACTTTTGGATATTTCGTCGCTTATTAATGTTTGTCTTACTAAACAGGACTGATTATTATTGTCCACAATTACAAAGAGTCCAAGTGCTGATTAGTTGAATAAGTATTATCATATTGAATTACATCACTATATCGAAGCACAATTCATATTAATCTGGTGTAATCCAAAACAAAAACATTAAAGAATTATTTGTTAGGTCTACACGCTAATTTATAATCCATCTTGTATCTTCAGCCTTACGTTTAAAGAGGTGATTAATTAATATAGCTGCTTCATCATCAACCTGTTGTTCTCTTTTCGACCTTTGAATCACATTTGACAGGTCTTGAGGTAAAAAAAAAACATTTTTATATTTTGCCTCAAGTAATTGTTATTGAGTACGCATATTTAAATTGCTCTTAGTGGTCCAGAATTCTATATTGGCCAACATTGGCTTAGTTAACGTTCGATATATAATGCCAAATTTATTGACAAGGGGATCCAAAAGATGGTTATTGTGTTCTAAAAAGACACTAGTGATACTGATAATACCAGTTGTTTTAGAGCATGTTGTATTTACAAACCATGGGCAATCACTACGTTTTGTACGCCTATTATGCTGTTTTTTAGCAATTGCCTTCTTTTTGCTTTGGTATTAACCTTGAAATTCATATCGGTAATAGCAGCATCTTTTTATTTTATCATCATATTCTGCCCATAAATAATTTTAGAAAAGCTCTTTGAACTACAATAAGTGTCAATATAATTATCAATTTTAGTCCATGATTCAAAATGCATGCCAAGTGTTGGTGTTTGAATTGATATAAAATAAGACCTAAGTACATTAGTCGAATGACTATGATCTTGTACAAGTGAGTCCTGATCTGGTGAAAATAGGTGGGTTATTGAAGGTGATGATAGGTGGGTTATTAAAGGTAAAGATGGATAAGTTATTAAAGATGAAGATAGGTAAGTTATTAAAGATGAAAATATAGGTTGTTTATTATAAACAAATGGCTCTGGTATATTCAAGGTTAAGCTTTTGTTTGATATTATCAAATATAATATTATAGTAGAAGAAACTGATGGCACCAGTAAGTCAGTAAAGTCTTAATTACTGTAATGCTCTGATAAATAAATTACTAATAAACAAACCTTGTCAAATATGCTTGCTGTACTTTGATTGTTATCGCAATATAAAGTCATTGTCATTGCACTACGAATATCATTGCTATTACACTACAAATGTCATTATCATTGTACTACAAATGTCATTACCGTTACTGTTGCTGTTGCAATATGAATATCATTGCCGTTGCTATTGCAATATGAATATCGTTGCTGTTGCTGTTGTACTATGAAAGTTATTTGACTAAAATATGTAATTATCATTGAAAAAAAGATTGGTAGAAAGGAATGTATAATATGCCAGAATTACTACAGATAAAAGAATTGCAAGCATATTAAAATCAACTTACAGCTCAAGGTTTATACATTGTTAATATATATAGTGTCTTACAAAGTTGCACAAACTTTAAAACTTCTTTACTAGGTAAGCTTGTACATTGTTAGCTTTGCGCCTTTCTTTCAAATTAGAATCTAACCTTACCTTATTATCATTACATCTATTTATATATACATG